TACATAATATGTCAATATTGTTGATCTGTCATACCAATCATCACTCGATATCAGAAGTTGTATGAATTAACCATATATTCTCTCTGTTTTGTGGGATGTTTCTTTGTAAATAAACTGGTTTCAAAAGTCTGTACTGGGGTGTCCCATTTTTTGCATTTATTTTGTTTATTATTTTTGGGAATCGTTTTTTGGTAATAAATTCGCTTATTTTTTTCCAAGTAAAAAAGAGAAAAACAGTCTTCAAAAAATATTTTTTTACTTGAAGCATTTTTAAGCATTAAAAAATACCATATAAAATTTGAAATAACGGGATTTTTGTTTTTGAAATACACACGAATGATCTCAAAAGTGCATTTTATTATAAAAAGCTGATAAATTTAATGCCAAAAATTTTCAAAGTCGAGTCTTCATTTATAATAATAAAATAAATAACAAGCGCTAAAGTATCGCGTAATATCGATATACTGATGGTGTTGTCACAACAATGACTGAAATATCAAAACACAAAATTATTAATTGTTTGCTCTTATTTATTTTTTCTTTTAAACTCGTTATTTCATTTTCTTTTGTTTAAAGAACAAAACCACATGTTTGTTTTTAATTATAATGAAAAACTAACGAAACTGATATTTAGTTACAAATTGACACAAACAACAACATCCCAATTTATTAACGTGTTTATCGTTGTATGATTTGACCAACAACGTTGAGTTTGTGTTGTGAAGTATCGAGTTGTGGTCAAATCAAATAACGGGATCGGGTTTTTTGGAAAAGGCTGGCTAATATTCCGATAAATTCCCGATATTGTACAAAAATGATTGAACGGGATTGGTATTTTTTCAAAATTAAGTCAGTACTTTCGATTTTTTGTTTTTTGTTTTTTAGGAAAAATCAAAAATAAAAAACGGGACTTTAGGAAGTTTTAAAAATACTGCGGTACAGACTTTTGAACTACAGTTTAAAATTTGTTGTGTAATAAAAAGTTGTAAATGTTATATTTGCAAATTTGGTTCAATAGTCATTTTCTTGGACATTGTTAATATTTTTTCACTCTTTGTGATGTGTTAATTCCATTTGTCAATTTGGGTAGATTATCATATACTTTGTCATCATATTGACTTTTGGAATCATAAATTATTATGAACTGTTTCCGTGACGATCAATTGAAATATTATACTTGTACATCAAATGTAAACCAATATCACTCTCGAAGTTCAAAAAATAGAATGTTGAACTGACAAATAAATTTAAAAATATATTTTAGTTGATTATAAAAATTTTGTATTTTGAATTTTTTCTTTAAATTATTTGGACGAAATTTAAGTGGTTTGAAAATCGGAGAATCTCTTGTTTATAAACTACTTTTCCTTTTTTAATGATATATCATACATATTACTTTAGACAGCCCAAAAAGGATTAACAAAAAACTAATGTAAATATATTTCCCGGTTTCACAGGACGATTTGGAAATATAAAAGTTATTTTTAGTGTTAACCGGCCAAGCAAACACAAAATTTATAGGCAAAAAAAGCCGTGGCTCGTTTTTATGAGCTATTAAAAAAAGAAACTGGAAAATAAAAAAAAATATCAATTAAAAAAATCGAAGACTTTGGAAAAACAAATATTTCTTTGTTTTCAAAATGTGACTAATTCGAATTTCATTTATCCTAAAGCTAAAATTTTAGTTTTTTATCATTTTGTTGATAATTGTTGATAATTTTGTTTTTATAGCACAAACTATCTAAAAAACTCGAATAATAAACCAATGTCTGTATCATCTACAGTGAATACAGTAACTGCGAATGATGGTACAAGTGTCTGGGAACAAATTAAAACGAAAAAAAACTGATCAAAAGTTCAGCTTCAAAGTGGATAGATATTCAGAAGTCCATGGAATAACCGACGAAACAACGCCTTATGAAATATTTAGTTTATTTTTCACTAAAGAGTTGAAAGATTTTGTTATCCTTCAATCGAATAACTATGGGAAAGTCGCTACCAAAAACAAGAAAGGCAAACAAGTTTTCAAAGAAATCACAAAAATGGAATTGGATGCATTCCTTTCGGTATCAATTTCACAAGCCAACTATCAAGACACAAAGTGTCCACTTTCTTCTTTGTGGAAATTACTCGCTTCAACGCCAATGAACACCGGACCCATCAGCGTTGAAAGGTATTCTGAAATAAAGTGGGCATTACGTTTCGACACAGAGGCGGCAAGCCGAGTTAACCAAATATATTCGGAAGAAGTCCAAGATGAAGAAATTGAGGAAGACCAAATTCAGTGTGTGAATGATGATACTTATGACCCACTTGATCAAGTAATTGAAGTATCCAGAAAAAGAATGACGCCATTAATTTCTGATGACCACCGTCCAATTCCAACATTCGACCAAATTGTTGGAGAAATGGATGAAACCCAACCAAAAAGTAGTGTTTTTACTCATATTATCCAAGATACACAAGATATAAACCAAAAAATAATCGTCACAACACAACAGAATATTTTTACACAACCACATTCTCAGTTCATTGGTACTCA